TTATGGAGATGACACCACAGATTAGTGGGGAAAAGATGAATTTGTGAGTAAATTGGTTCATGATTATGGAGAAAATTACAGCTGGAAACTTACATTACAGCATAGTAGACTCCAGATGGACAAAAGGCCTACAAATGGAGCTTTTGGATTGATGAACATGTGGATGTGCTGGGAGGTAGTGCCCCAGAGAAGGCATGAAAGCTCCATGCCTCACCCCCAAACCTTGCCCTGTGCATCTCTTCATTTGGCTATTTCTGAGTTTTATCCTTTACAATAAACCAGTAAATGCAAATAAATAGATAAATAAACAAATACCTAAAAATATAAAAAGCAAAACCATAAATTAATAGAAGAAAATAATAGGGAATAACTTTGTTTTTTATATAAAAACATTGGGTTTTTATATAAAGACCTGAAAAGCACAAATCAAAAAGGAAAAAAATGGATGGATTTGACTAAATCAAAATTAAGGATTTCTGTGGGAAAAAAACAATGCGGACATTATAGACAGAGTTAGCCAACGGATACAGATTGGTTTATGATATCTGCAAAGCCAAGATATTAACCACTTGTCATGTTTTGTTCCAAGGCAGAGGAGAATTACATAAATAAGGTATTTTAGTTACAGGTATTCTCAGGTCTGACAGAAATCGTGGTGGAGGTCCTGGATGGCTGAGGTTTGGAGAGCACTGAGCTACTGCAAGCCTTCTCCTATAGCCAGTGAGGAGGAAGAGTTAGGGCTTTGGTGAGAGACCTGGGCCTGAACCTAAATGTTTAACCACTGGTACCCTAAAAAAAAAGTATGCATATATACGTATTTAATTATGCATATATACATATATAAGTTTATTCTAAATTCTACTGATATAATGGATTTTAGTAAATAATTTACAAATAATAATAAAACATACAATATTCCTTATTGTAAATTCTATACAGTTAATTGATTCTCACAGAACACCTTCACTGATTTTTGCCAAGTGCTTCTTTCTATAGCCCCCATATGTTTGCAACTGATAAACAAGGATAGTTTGGACATGAATGTTGGTTAATATTTTCCTGTAAGTTAAGGAGTAAGATGAAATTGAAAAAACAATTTCATTTGTTCATTCATGATGTGAGCAACTTGTTTTTGGATACTCGAAGAATACTGCCTCAATTTTTTTGTGATATTCACACTATTACTACTACACATAGAACACTACAGATTTTTTTTTTTTTTAAGATGACCGGTAAGGGGATCTTAACCCTTGACTTGGTGTTGTCAGCACCACGCTCAGCCAGTGAGCAAACCGGCCATCCCTATATGGGATCCGAACCCGGGGCCTTGGTGTTATCAGCACCGCACTCTACCGAGTGAGCCACGGGCCGGCCCCGAACACTACAGATTTTATATTTAATCTGCATTATTAACATTGTCTCCATCACCATCTTGAATCTAGATCAGGGAGGGGTTGGCAAACTGTAGTTTACAGGCCAAATCTGTCCCTCACCTAATTTTGTAAATTAAGTTTAATTGGCACACAGCCTGCCTGTTCATTTATACTTTTGTCTATGTCTGCTTTTGTGCTACAACAGCAGAGTTGAGTAGTTGCAACAGACTGTATGATTCAAAAAGTTGAAAATATTTACGAATCCCAAGGAGAATTTTTAAAAAAGGAAAAAATAAAAGTAAATAAAATTAAGAAAAAAAAGAAAATATTTACTAATCTGGTCTTTATAGAAAAAGTTTGCCAGCTTTTATATAGACAATATAACATAACGTTTTTAACATAATGATAAACCAACCCCAGATATGTAGCATTTGCTGATTTCTGTAATGTAAATAATTCCACCATTCCTGATTTTAAGCTACCCTGTGTGACATTACTATGTACATGGAGTTGCAAGAGATGCTTACTTGCACACCATACATGTAAAATAGACATAAGTAACCTCAAGAGCATAGATAATAATAAAATATAAAAAAAATGTAGGAAGTGATGTTTTGAATATTATTTATTACCTCTGTTGTTAATATAATTTATTTTAAGTTTGTATCATTTAATATTTAATGACTGGGTTTAATAACTGGCCCACAGAATTCCTGAAAATTTAACAATTGGCTCTCATAAGCTGGTTCAAACATGCTCTAGCACTACACTGTCCTGAACTCTACCCAGCTGTATGACCAAGGCCAGTCACTCACCCTCTCCCTACCAAACAGGCCCCAGCCATGCAACAGAATGCAGGCCAAGCTAAGGAAAGAGTCCCAGGCCAGGCTTATCAACTTCATCTCCCAGGTACCTCTAACTATTGAGTATCTGGTTCTAGCCCATTGCAGTTTTCAAAGTTCTTTGAAATTTCCTGTTTTGTTGTAAAAAATGTATGTGGTTTGCTTACAGATTATCATAACCAAATTTTGGTGGTGGGGGGGTGGGGACACATGTGAATTTTGTGCCCTGTTGATGGAGTTTGGATGTGTTGTCCCCTTCAAAAATCATGTGGAAATTTGATCTCCAATGTGGCAGTGTTGGAAACTGAGTCATGGGGGTGGGTCCCTCGTGAATGGATTAGTGCTTACCCTGGGGGAGGAGGGGTAGTGAGTGAGTTCTCGCTCTATTAGTTCCCGCGAGACCTGATTGTTTAAAGGACCCTGGCACCTCCTCTCTCTCCCTTTCTCTCTTGCTTTCTCTCGCCATGTGATCTGTTTGTACCCGCCAGCTGCCTGCCACTTTCTGCCATGAGTAGAAGCAGCTGGAGGCCTGTGCCACATGCAGCTGTCCCAGAATCGTAAGCCAAATAAACCTCTTTTGTTCATAAATTATCCAGTCTCAGGTATTTCTGTTATAGCAATACAAAACAGACTAATACACCTGCTTGTTGCAGGATGGCTCTGGACTAGCCTGAGCAACTTGTTGCTCAGAAGTATGTCTATTCAAGTTCTCCGTCACCCACACACTGGGTTCAAACATCCTAAGCCCTTAACACCAGGCACATAAAGAAAGGAAAAGAGGCCAAAAGTAAGTGATTAAAGTGGTTTTTCCAACTGCCCATCCCTCATTTGTGACCCCTGGAGTCAGTAAGGCACTGCAGCCTTCTCCTTGGGATGGGTGTTGCTCGTGACATGGGTCAGCTGTGTGGTCTCCAGCTTTCACTTTCATGGATAGCCAGGGGACTCGGTCAGCATCCCCTAACCAAAGCTCTTATTTTTGGAGTATCCCCTCCACCCCCAGTCCCTGTCCATCAGAGCAAGAAGTGCTCCTCAGCTTCCCCTCTCCCTCCACCTTCCCTCATTCTGTTTAAGTGGGAGCTCTATCTCTTTGATTCATTGTACCCTCAGAAGGACCCACCTCAGTGTGAGATGTAGGGGAGTCATAATGACCAAGTGTCAATTTAGGAATTGGGGGACTCCTGCTGCTTAGAAATGATGGCAAACCCAGTTGCTAGAGCTGCCTTGGATCCTGGGTGGCCTTCTTTCTTTTGAGTTAGAACCATAGTGCTACTCTCAGGTTCTCATGGCTTCCCAGCCAAATACCTGCCTCCATTATTCCTGTGTGCACCCTTATGCTAAACCTTTGGTTTTTAGTTAACTGAGTGAATTGCCTAGGGAAGAGAAGTAGCAAAGTGCAGAGAAAAAGGGAATCTCTTCAGGTTTTTTTAGTTTTAAAGGCTTATGTAGGTCCTCAGGAGAGTGGACAAGAAGAAGATTCACGAATAAGAGCTAAGTTAGAAAAAGACTCCTCAGGCTGGGCAGGGAAGAAGGAATTTGAGTAATAATAACAGTGCAGACGTGGATGTTCTCTTGAAATGGGGTCCTCTTGTGTGCCATCTCCCTAGGATAAACCCTAATCTGTGAACCCCAAGAAAAGAGAGGATCTGAGCCTTAATTCCCAGGCAGAGCCCTAAGAATTCCATCTCAAGGTAGAAAGACCCCGAAGAGAGAAAATGATCAAGTATTTTGTCTAGGGAAGTGGGGCTTAGCACAGCAGAGATTTACCATACTTCAGTGTACTGCATGCTGTGGTTTGAATGTCCCTTCCAAAACTCATGTTTAAACTTAGTCCCCAGTGTAAGAGTATTAAGAAGGTGGGAAATCTCACTATGGTATTTGAAAGGTGAGGTCTTTAAGAGGTGATTGGATCATGAAGGCTCTGCCCTCAAGAATGAATTAATCTATTCATCCATTAGTGAATGAATGGATTAATGGGTGAATGGATTAATGGTTTATCATGGGAGTGAAACTGGTGGCTTTATAAGAAGAAGAGAAACCTGAGCATATTAGCACACTCAGCCCTCTTGCCTTGGGATGCCCTGCACCACCTTGGGACTCTGCAGAAAGTCCCCACCAACAAAACGGCCTTCATCAGATGTGCCCCCAAGACCTTGGACTTCCCAGCCTCCAGATCTGTAAGAAATAAATTTTGTTTCTTTATAAATTACTCAGTTTCAGGTACTCTGTTATAAGTAACAGAAAACTGACTAATAATACAGTGTGAAAGCAGAGAATGATTCCTAGAAGCTCACCCTGGAAATGGTAGACAGCATTCTTGGGGTTGAAGAGGCTTTGCTGTGGGAATAAGGATATACCCTCAGTGACTTTCCAAATGAAGGGGCCATGGATGACCCAGGGATGTCAGTGTCGAGAGATGACACCAAGGACCAAGTGGGCCCCACCTAAAGCTTTGGCCACCTAAGCCCTTAGGAACTGAGATACAACTCCAAGGAAAGGGGAGGATGCTGAACTGTCTGAGATTAAGTTTCTGTCAAGTTAGCATAATAAAGGCTAGAAAGAGAAATCGACTTGCAGACAGGCCAGGAGTGAAGTTCAGGGGAATGAAGCAGGGAAGGAGAGAGAGCTAAGACAAAGACACAGCATCAACATACCACTTCAGACATTTGAGAGGTTGTGTAAAATGAATCTCAGGACCATCTGTCCGGAAGAAATGTGAGAAACATTTATCCATTGTCCCGCAGTCAAAGGTTTGCCCCATGGAATGTTAACTCCCCCACCTTTCCAGGATACATGTGTGGACACAAAGAGGGGTCCAGTGGAGAAGCTCTGAGGTAAGTTACTGAGAGGTAGTACCTGTGAGAAGCCCACACAGAACTGGTCATGACAGAGGTGACTGGAAGACAAGACAGCGAGGCCAAGAAGACCTGAAGTGATGCTTGAGAAGAACCTGATGCAGTCTACATATATGTTTGTGCCTTGTATAATATTAGCCTCCCCCACTCTATAATATGGACCCTCTGTTTTTGTGATATCAGGATATCCTCACTGCTTCCCTAAGATTGGGAGGAACAGGTCCAACCTCTCAGAGTCCCTTTCAAGGCAGCAGAGGCCAGCCTTGGTCTACAAAGAATTGATGTAAGAGGGTTATTAAAACAAACCATACTCCCTGCTGCTGCAAGGAGTGTCAAGGCCAAAGTTAATATTCATCATTTCCCTCCTCCACTACCTGTCCTAGATTTCCCTTGCCCTCAGCCAGCACTTTGGATTGACCTAGACTTCCACTCCTGGGCGATCTGAGCACTTAGATGCCCTTGTCAGGTTACAGTTGCTGCAGTTACCCATTTACCACTGTTAGTCCGTTTCTGTTGCTTATAACGAAATACCTGGAACTGGGTAATCTAAGAAGAAAACAAAATTTACTGCTTACAGTTTCTGAGGCTGGGAAGTCCAAAGTCTACCTGGTGGTGGCAACAGTGATCCAGGGGACTCACATTGCAAGATGGAAGCAGAGAGAGCAGTGAGAGACAGACTCTCCTCTTCTCAAATAAGAGCCCTTTAAGAGGGTTCTTAAAGCCCTCAGAACCACGCCCCGACCAACATTTTTAATCCATTCACTATGGCATGGTCCTACAATCCAGTCACTTTCCCAAGTCTCTACCTTTCATTTACCATAATAGGATTTCCCACCCTCTTAACAGTCACAGTGGGGGTCTAAGTTTCTAATATATAAAATTTGGGGGGACACAATTCAAGCTTCAATGAGTTTGCGGGGGGACATAATTCAATCCACTACAACCACCATCACAGGGTGTGGAAATCCCAAGAGATGCTCAGTGAATCTTCTAAATTCCCGACATAATCCTCCCCAGTGTCTCAACTTAATCAGGGTTGATTATCCCCACCATGTAGCACTCTTTTCTTTACCTGCTGGTGCATTGGCATGAGGAGCCAAAATTCTAGGTGGTAGTTACAGCTTCCAACTCAGTGGAACTGTTAGTGGAATGGAAGTGTTTTTTACTCTCCCAACTCTCACCCCCAGGAGCCAAGACCTCTAAGCTAATAGAACTTAAACTTGTGAGGTGGGAAGCACAAATTCCATGAGTGGAGTGCACTGGAAGTGAAAGAAAGTGCTACCCCTTGGTTTGCAGATCCAAATCTCCTAGGTATTTAAAACAAAGCACCATTGTAAATAATTTATAAACCATTAGTTTAGTGCATGTTCTACATGCTGGAGGACAGTACCCTAATCCCCTTGAGTGTTTTACCCAAGCTGGAGCCTTAGCTGTGCCTGTAACAAGCTATTCCACTATTCCATTAGGCCACCTACTTCTGGGTGACTGATTTACATGGTAAGACCAGTGGATCCCATGGTCATGTGTCTCTGTTGCAGTTTTTTTTACAATTAAGTTGGTCCCTTGGTCTGAAGCAATGTTGTTAAGGTTATCATGATAGGCTCTCTGAGCAAGAAGAGTTTGCTTTTCTTTGGCAAAATGGGGGGACTACTTTTGCCTGTGTGGGAGATTCAAGGGAATCTGGAAGCAGGAGATGGTCAAGAATCTCAGGCATTTCTACCCAAGTATCCCCATTCCAGTTCTCAGGTTCCACTCATTTTCTGTCAGTGCCCCAACTTTGATGGAGGAAACCTGTGAAGGCTGTGCCTTCAGTCTTCTTTGAAATTTTGCCACTCTTGGGCCGGCCCGGTGGCACACTGGAGAGTGCGCTGCTTGGGAGCGCAACCGCGCTCCCACTGAGGGTTCGGATCCCATGTGGAGACCGGTTCCCGCTCACTGGCTGAGCGCGGTGCGGGCGCAACACCGAGGGTTGCAATCCCGTTGCCGGTTCCCAGTACGGGCGCGACACCGAGGGTTGCGATCCTGTTACCAGTCATTAAAAAGACAAAAAGGAAAAAAAAAAAAAAAGAAATTTTGCCACTCTTAAAATCAGATCTTGGGCCTAATTTTCAGCCCAGTCTTTCTCAAGCCTGTAGAAGAATAAGAATCTCCTTCAAAGCTGCCATAGAGACTCTCTAGCTTTCACAAATGCCTTGACAGCTGTTAGTTCTAACCCTATATATTTTTTTTAAGGCTTCTAATGAAGTTAAAAAAGCCAGTCCATTCCATAATCCTTATAATTATCATTGTCCTCCAGCACGTACTACATATCTGTATACTAGATACCCCAACACTTTTTCTACCCGAACCTCATCCCAATCAACCATAGATAGATGCCTTAGTAATTGTGATGCCACTCTATTCTAGGTGTTATCACATCCCCTACTCCCCCACAACCCCCCCCCCACCAGCAATGGGGTTGTTGTTCCCATCTGACTAGTAAGCAGTACAGTTCCAAAGTGCCAACCTGAGATTCTGTCTTCTGGGGCCATTATTGCTACCAACATGCCTTAGTGGGTTCCTCATATGAGTAGTTTACTGGCAAGTGTGAGTTCAAGGACTAGGAGTGAAGGACAGGGGTTGTAAAGTGGTGAGGAAGGAGAGCTGTTGCAAGGATGCATTATCAAATTGGCCACTTCCAAAGGCATTTGGTTTCTTGATCCTGCAAGATAGTTAAAAGCTATATGAAATGTCTGAGGGCGTCTACCTGAAGGGGAAAAGGGAGAAGCATGTATTCATTATCTGTTGACCCCATTGGTCACAGATTTGCCTCATGAGGCATTAACCACTCCCCACCTCTGCACTTTTGGGCACCTGTCTGGGTGCTGAGCAGTTCCAGCAGTCCTGTGACCCTGTGGCATCAAGAAACCATCCTTGATACAAAGTTGAGAAGCCTGAAGCATGGGCTTGAGGTGAAGCTCACTCAGGTTATACCTGCTGAAGCTGGAAGAAGATTAGTGGTGATGAAATAAGCAGCAGGTGAGACCAAGACGATCTGAAATAGGGCATAAGAGGTGTGTGATACACTTGCACACCTGAAATGAGGATAATTACCCCAAGCTTGCAGGATTGTCTGAGAATTAGAGATACTGCATGTACGAAATCTGATCATGACTCCAATTCAAAAAAAATTTTTTTCTCTCTCTAGTTATTATTAAACAATTACAATGTCTTTCCAATTGGCCACAAGGGCCCAGTGTGGCGAGGCCAAAGTCACCACAAGGTTCCACGTTGTGTGAGCCATGAATTGGGCTTATGCTGCTCCAGACAGCAAGAACGTCTTCACTCTACATTAGCCCTCAGTGAGCAATTACTGTGTGCTCGGCCCTGGTCTGGGCACCGGCGACCCAGAGACCGGAATCATTCCTGGTCCTTGCCCTCAGAGCACTCATAGGCTGGCAGGGATGGGCAAACATGCCGTGGTATTGGCAAGCCCAGGTGACTATGGGAGCAAAAGAAGTCCTGGGAGGCGAAGGCAGCCTTCCCATAGGAGGAGGAAATGGTTCCCTAAGTCTGGAGGGCTGTGTGGTAATTAACCAAGCAAAGGCAAGAGGCAGAGCAAAACGTTTCCAGGTCCACGCAGAGCAACCCTATCATCGTTTGCAGGGGGACACAGAGGTGATTGAGGCCGATCTCTACCAATCTCCTCCCCCGAGCCCCGCCCCTCCAGGGGCAAAAGCCGAAAATGAAGAAACAAATTACTGCTGGGGTTGCTCATATGAAGAGACATCATTCTGCCCTCGATCACTCATTCACAAACTCAGAATGAAATTGACTCATTCACTCCCGCACTGGTTAAATTTTTATGGCCAAAAGAAACTGGGGGATTGGTGACAACCGTGACATTTTTTCTTTTCACAATGGTCTTTCATCACCCTATTTTATATTTCCACAAGAAAAAGGTATAAACAAACAGTAAGAAACTCCCAAACTCTTAAGAGTCCTCTGCGCCCCCTAGAGCGAGGCGACCGCAGCCTGCCTCTTTAAGAACCCGAGGCTCACCCTCCGGAGGAGCAGAGTAGGGAGCGGGCTCTGCGCGCAGCTGCCTGCTGACGTCTCTGGGAGCGTCTTCTCTGGGTGCTGCTGCCCCTTTAAGAAGGCGGGGCTCTGCCGAGGAAGCGGAGCAGTCTCGTCCTCCGGATCTCCGGCTTCCGGCAACTCGGCTGGACCAGTACCGGCGCGGAGCTTCTAAGGCCCGAGCCTTTCCGGGATCGGCTGGACGCCGAACCCCGCGAGGTGAGGCGGCCAGGTCTGCGGGGCCGGTCAGGGGCTGAGGGGGCCCAAGATCTCCTGCCGCTGCGGCCCAGCTCCTCCCCTTAATCCACTGCCTCTGCTTCGGGGTGTCCCAGGCTGCAGGGTCTCCAACACTCCAGCACCTACTAATCGCCTGGCCTTGCGCTGAACGCCTTACACGCACTGTCTCATTTAATGGCCCCACCACCGTGTGAGTAGGTACCTTTATGAACCCATTTTACAGATGAGGAAACTGAGGCCCCCGAGGAGCGCACACACAACAGAGAAGCAGCAGAATCGGCAATCAAACTCAGGTCTGTCTGACCCCAGAGCCTGTGCCCTTAACCACAGGCTAGGCTGAACTGCCTTTGTTCTTCACTGTCCCCATCACTCCTCTCAAACCTCAGTCTCCCCTTCCTCATTCATCCATCTCCAGGCTGCACCTGGCTCCTAAACATTCACACAGTGAGTGAGATTGGACGGAATCTTTGGACCCCTAGGGTTAGTTTTTTTATAACAGTTTTAATAATATCTGATGCTTAATGGTTATTTTTGTTTAAACCTAAAATGGCTAGGCTGAACTGCCTTTGTTCTTCACTGTCCCCATCACTCCTCTCAAACCTCAGTCTCCCCTTCCTCATTCTTCCATCTCCAGGCTGCACCTGGCTCCTAAACATTCACACAGTGAGTGAGATTGGACGGAATCTTTGGACCCCTAGGGTTAGTTTTTTTTATAACAGTTTTAATAATATCTGATGCTTAATGGTTATTTTTGTTTAAACCTAAAAAAGGAGGCAAATGGGTTTATGTAAAGTCACTGAAAAAGGAGGCAAAGGAAAGCAATACCGTTTCTAATACTGAAACAAGACTTGTTTGCAGATACACTATTCTGTTATTCTATTAAGTTTACTTATTTTTTCCTTTTAGACCCCTGCAAATTTTTTTTCCTCATAATTGGGAGAAGACCCAGTGGCTGAATGGCAACTGTAGATGACTTGCAGTTTGAAGGTACATCATTCGAGTACCTACCTTTATCTTTAAGATCACTATTTCCGCAGTCATAGCAACAGATTTGCATTCCTACGCTGCGTCATATGGTAAAAAATATTATGAGAGGGGGCCGGCCCGTGGCTCACTCGGGAGAGTGCGGTGCTGATAACACCAAGGCCACAGGTTCGGATCCCATATAGGGATGGCCGGTTCGCTCATTGGTTGAGCGTGGTGCTGATAACACCAAATCAAGGGTTAAGATCCCCTTACCGGTCATCTTTAAAAAAAAAAAAAAAAAAAAAAATTATGAGAGTACTTCAAAAAGTTAATGGAAAAATAGAATTAAAAGAGAATACGAATTTTTCCACAAACTTTTTTGAAGTACTCTTGTATTTCAGACATCTTGTTAAAAGTCTGTTGGCCACATTCAGGTTTTTCCTGTTTGTCCACACTAGCAGTTCTTTTTTGCTAAATAGCCCTTCAGATTGATAACAGGTATCATAAATTTAGTGCAGTGATTACAGAAAATGTTTATAGAGTTCCCACGTTAGTTCAACAAACATTTATTGAGCACTTTCTTTGTACTTAGGACTGTATTAGATACCAGAGATAAAAAAAAATTAAAGTTGTTTATACGCTGGAGTAGATATAAAAGTATAAAAAGCTAATATTGATGAAATGTGATCAGATCATTCCTTCATTTAATCAATAAGTATCTCATGAGTGTGACTATGAACCAGGCCATTGTTCTAGTTATCAGAAATAGAAGGGTGAACAAAACAGTTTCTTCCATTATGAAGCTCTCAGTCTAGTGAGGGAGACACTCATTTGCTAAATGATCATTTAAATGTGTATCTACAAACTATGAAAATGCTGGAGAAAAAGTTCAGAGAGATATTAGAACTCGTAATCCAGAGCTTGAACATGGCCAACAGTCTTTTACCAAGATGTCTGAAACGCAGTTAGCAGTATGGGTCAAGGGCCTTAAAAATGGTTTGCACCCTTTGACCTTGTGATCACCTCAATAATTGATCCTAAGGTAGTAACCCCAAAAGCTTTCTCAACACCGACACTCCTGCATATTTGTAATAAAATCTTTGCTGATGGAATATTATGCAGCCACATAAGTGATCATTTTAAAGACTGTTATGAAAATCAGTTTTGCATATAATCCTCAGAAGACAAAGCAGGATACAAAATTGTTTACTATAGTGCTATTACATTTTAGATCAGTACTTAGCACATTGTAGGTATTCAGCAAATAGTTGTTGAACAAATAAATGATCATCAGTGGCATGAATCTCACTATGTAAAGAAAAGGAAATGTAAAAATGTTAATTGTGTTTGCCTTTATGTAGTGGGATGGACTAACAGTGATTTTTATTCTATGTATTCCACTTTCATTTTTATCCCCATATTTTCTTTTCTTTTTTTTTTGGTGGTTGGCCTGTATGGGGATCCGAACCCTTGACCTTGGTGTTATGTCACCTCACTCTAACTAACTGAGCTAACTGGCCAGCCCCCCATATTTTCTATAGCAATTATATGGACTTATTGGAAAAATAACTTCCACTAAAATGTTTTGAACTTGAATCAAAGAAGAGAAGTTTAGGACTTTATTTTGGTAAAACTCCTAATTCTCTTGAAATTCTTTAAAATAAATATTATTCTCCCCGTTGTACAGATGGGAACACTAAGGTTTATAGAGGTTAACTTACTCTGTCTCATGTAGTTAGTAAGTAGCTGAGCCAGAATTAAAATCTGGGTCTGACTCCAAATTCTGTTGTCTTTCTAGTCATCTTTCTATGTGAGACTGATTTCTAGACGAGGTTTTTTTCAGATCCTTTTGCCATTTGTGTCAGATAGGCTCTAGAGCAAAGCTGAGGTTGTAAAAGCTTGTCTTTAAATTAAAAATATAGCATTTCTAGTGTGGGTATGGTTTCTGAGACCCTTGTGCTCTAATTGGTTTCAGAATTTGGTGATGCTGCCACTTCTCTAGCAGCAAACCCAGATGTCACCACAATAAGCATTGAAGATCCTGGTGAAACCCCAAAGCATCATCCAGGACCCCCCAGAAGCCCAGGGAGAGAAGAGGATGATGAGTTACTGGGAAATGATGATTCTGACAAAACTGAGGTTTGAACTTGTCTTTGGAATTTTTTCCCTTTAATTTTTTTTAAAGATCGTTCATCCATTTAATCGCTATCTGCTGTGTGCCAGATACAGTGCCAGGCAGTGACAACACAAAGACAAATGACACATGGCCTCTGCCTTGGTGGGGGAAACAGACCATTATTGTCTGTGGGAAGCCCACTGGTGTAAGGGAGCACCAGGTGGCAGGAGCCTAGAGAGGGGTTAGGGAAGGCTTCCTGGAGGCAGTGACACTTGGACCAAGTCTGATGAAGGAGGATAAGGTCGTCAGGGGAGGAAGGTGGGGAAGGGTGATCTAGTCAAGGGGACCAGTTTTGATGCAGTCGCAAAGGCATGAAAGAACATGGTACCAACAGGAATGTCCCCATCTTCACCTAAATTGGAAGCAAAATATAGATGAAGACATATGAGGCTACACCAGTAGGCTGGGACTCAATTCAGTGAGTATGAATTGTATTCTGAAAACTATCAGGAGTTACTGAAAGATTCTAAACAATATGGCCAGATACTTTTAAAGATATTAAACAAACGGTGGCCATGTGGAGAGTGAATTGGAGGGAGATGGACTCGAAACCAGAAGAGCAGGTAGGAGACAAATGAAGTGCTCTAGACTGGAAGTGAAGACTGAACTAGAGTTGGACACAGATATTTAGGAGTGGGCTTAGTAGGACTTGATGGGAAGGGTTAGGTGAGGTAGAAGGAGGGAGGATTCTCAGATTTAGGTCTCCTCCGTCTAGTTGGATGGTGAATAAATCACGTGGATGATTTTGATCACAAAGATATATGTCCATGTACACGGTGCGTTTAAGAAAAATGGTATTTCTATTAATATTTTACAAGCTGAATTGTGATTGTAGTGCACTACAGGAGCACTCAGTTTATAGCAGTAGATACACAGGCTTATTAAAATAGTGGAGTTCTTGGAGACCTGATGCTCTCTGTGGAACTCCATGAGTATCAAAGTGAGTATTGAATTTTATGCTAAATTAAGTACCACTAGATACTAAATATTGTGGGAAAATCTCAGACTTAAGAGCCTGAGTTTGGGCCGGCCCGGTGGCGCACTGGATAAGTGCGCCGCTTGGGAAGCACGGCGGCGCTCCCACCTGAGGGTTCGGATCCTACATGCAGACCGGTTCCCGCTCACTGGCTGAGCGAGGCGCGGGAGCAACGCCGAGGGTTGCAATCCCGATGCCGGTCCCCGGTCCGGTGCGGGGGCAACACTGAGGGTTGCGATCCGTTGCCGGACATGGAAAAAGATAAAAAAAAAAAAGACAAAAAAAAAAAAAGAGCCTGCGTTTGAATCCTGGTCCTGCCAATAGTAATAGCTGTGTGGTCTTGGGAAAGGTACCTTAACTTCCCTCAGCCTTGGTTTCCTCATCTGTAATAAGAGAAAATAATATGCTGACTCTTGCTATCATTATCATAGCAGTGTCTAGTATGTATTCAGTATTTAATAGCTGCCAACACTATTTAAAGATCCTTACTTGTGTCATCTCATTTAATCCTCAAAACACACTATGAACAAGGAGATTCTTTTTTTTTTTTTTTGTCTTTTTTGTCTTTTTCCGTGTCTGGCAACGGATCGCAACCCTCAGTGTTGCCCCCGCAGTGTCCTGTGGTGGCACAGGGCATCCCATGGTGGGGGAACTAGAGCATCTTAATGTGCTCACTTGCTCCGCTTATAAAGCCACCAGTGCCGTTCCTGTAATAACCTGTTTATCCATTAACCCATTAATTGATGAATGGATTAATCCATTCATGAGGACTCTCTTAAAGTCCAATCACCTCTTAAAGGCCTTACCTTTCAAATACTCTAGTTGGATTTCCCACCCTTTTAAACATTATTAAAATAGGGGTTAAGCTTCAACATGAGCTTGGGGGACGTTCAAACTATAGCCTTTGGGGAATCCAAAGTCTGATGAGGGAGGTCAGCAGGCTAGATACTTAGAAAAACAGTTGCAGTTCAAAGGCTGTCTGCTGAAGAATTCCCTCTTGCTGGGGTGGGTGGATGAAGGGTGGGGTTGGCCTTTTGTTCTATGCAGGCTTTCAAACGATTGGCTGAGGTCCAACCACATTATGGAGGGCAATCTGCTTTACTCAAATTCTACCCATTAAAATGTAAATGTCTTGCAAAAACACTCTCACAGAAAAATCCAGAATGTTTGACCAATATCTGGACACCATGGCCCAGACAAGTTGACACATAAAATTAACCACCACACTGACAAACAGCAGGCATCAAATTTTAAGAAGAAATGTATAAGAGGAAAAAATCTTAAAATTGAAAAAATTCTATCCATTATCTTAATTTTGTCTGTGAGTTGGGAAGAGGTTATCAATATTCTATGACAGTGACAGAACTCCTTGGCCTCGTTTATGGAATATGGGTCTCTGGTTTCACTATCTTGTAATATTAGAGTTGCAAATAACCTCTGTTTCAGCCTCCCTCCCAAGATATTACTGCCTTCTGTAGTATATCAGAAAGACAACACTTGAATACCTCCAGGAACGGCCTGTTCAGTACCATGTAAGGCAGCTGCTGTCACTGTTGGACTTTGTGAAAATCATTTCCTCCATAATGAACAAGAAATATCTGCCCATAACATTTACTTTTTTTCTGCACAGCTGCTCAGAGTCCAACTGTGCCTTTTTCTGTATGAATGCTTGGTGTTTCATACACTTTGGTTTTCCATTAGATCAACTCCCTCTCTTTCTCTGTGCAGCTGGAATTAGGAAATTGCTTCTGTGTTCATTATGTTTTATTTTACTTGTGACAGTTACTCGCTGGACAGAAGAAAAGCTCCCCCTTCTGGACATTTGAATATTATCAAACGTTCTTTGATGTGGACACTTACCAGGTTTGTAAATCAATTTTACTTTTCCTTTTACATGTAATGGAGACTTGTTTCTTCTATGGTTAAACAATCAAATGATGGGAAAGCCTTTGTGTGCTGGTAAGGGGATCTTAACCCTTAATTTGGTGTTGTCAGCTCCACGCTCACCCAGTGAGCAAACCGGCCATCCCTACTATGGGATCCGAACCCAGGGCCTTGGTGTTATCAGCACCGCACTCTCCCGAGTGAGCCACGGGCCGGCCCAGGTTATTAGCATTTGAAAATATTATCATAAAAGCTCTAATGATTGAGTTTCAATTTTGTAGTAGTTGAATTTTTTTAAACTTAAAAAAAATACTTTGGTAGAGTTACTGGCATATTGTTTTCCAGGTCTTTGACAGAATAAAAGGGTCTCTTTTGCCAATACCCGGAAAAAACTTTGTGAGGCTATATATCCGCAGCAATCCAGATCTCTATGGTATGTGTGGTGCTGTTTTCATTCCTTACCGTATTCCTGTTGAACTTGGGTAGGTGTGCGAGTCACCTGGAAAGTTGAGAATTGCACTGTTAGTTGCAATTCTGCACAGTTTCATTCGACTCTTCTGAGCTGCAGTCATGACCCTTGCAAAGAAATTTGGGGAAAATGCAATTATGTATTATATGAGTGTTAATGCCATGATTACAAGTATAGTATTTCCTACAAAAGTCTTTAAATGACATTAGAAACTTGAGACAAATTAAATCATTTTAACTGAGAGTAGATTGTTGATTTTAATTTATGGAGGATTTGGGTGTGTGTGGGGGGTGAATGTGGAGAAGTAGTCTCACATTTTCATTGATGTGCTGAGTTCTAGCTCTGTCCTTAGATGAGCTGGCTCCCCTTGGGATCTGATCACTAGCCCCGGAAGTCCGAAAGAGGGTTGGGCTAGGGATGGCTGTCATCCCCGATCTCTCTGATGGCTGACAACCCCTTGCAAAGAATCCCTACTTTTCAAATGAGGAACCGGATGCTCAGTAAGGTTTCTTAATATATGTGCTCAATCCTAAATAATAAATAGTAAAGCAAATTATATATTTTGATTATAAATATGGGCTCTGTGGAATTTCTGGAGCTCCAGGGAGCCTGGTGTGAAAACTTTGGCGTTGTCCTGTGCCTCTAAAGGTTGTCAAGGTGGTTTCTCTTTTAGCTGTCTCATGCATTCTTTCTAGTCTGAGGACTTCTTGAGGGGCAGGCTCTGTGTCTGAATAAGCCATGTGTTCAGTGCCTGGCAGTGGGCTTGGCACAGAGCAGGTGCTCATACAGTTTTTGAGCACCTTATTTTGTGTGAGGCCCTGTGTTAGAGGCTGAGGATTTTAAGATAAGACCCACAGTCTCCAGCCCCAAGGAGGGAGAGAGAACTAACATCTGTTTAGCCAAGCCTGGAGATACCACTATTTTACTATTTTATACTATTTTCCCATATTCCAAGGTAGCCTTATTTTGCAAAAAAGAAAACTGAGGCTTGGGGAGGGTAACTTGCCCATAGTCAGAGAGTTAGCAATATTAACAATAATAGCAAACACATGAAAAGTGCTTATTATGTACCCGACACTGTTATTAGGGCAGAACCTATATTAACTCATTTAATCTTTATAACAATCCAACTTTATGGGGCAGATACTATTATCCCCATTTTATAGATGAGAACACTGAGTCACACAGAGGTCTACTAACTCACTAAGATCATACAGCTAATAAGTGCCAAGCTCAGTTTTCAAATTAATACTGTGGCTCATAATCCATATTCTTCATCACTATGCTATGCTGCCTCTCATGACAAAGCCAGAGTTTGAACCCAAAGCTTGCTCATGAGACTGCTGGTGTTGTGAAAAGAAGAATGTACAATATAGGTGAAATTTTTTGTTTTTTGGTTTTTGCTGGCTGGTACAGGGATCAAACCTCAGACCTTCATGTTATCAGCATCGTGGTCTAACCAACTAAGCTATGAGATGTTTTATAGCAGAGAGGACTAGGCCTTGTGGGGTGTGGTGGATTGGAGGAAGATAGTTAGGAAAAAAGATGACAGTCTGAACAGTTTAAGAAAAAGACTGATGAATTTGACTAAATTTCAACTAAAATGAAAAATTTCTACACAACAAAATAATAAACCATAAACAAAGTCAAAAAGTAACCACAAATCGGGAAATATTTGCAATGCCCCTAACCATTAAAGATGAGAGGCAAGAATATGTGTAGAACTCCTACAAAGTATAAGAATAAAATAAACAACTCTGGGGGAAAATGGGCAATTTGCAGATTTACAGAAAAGGAAATCCAAATGACCAATAAATATATGAAAAGATGCTTACTCCCACTTGTAATAAGGGAAATAAAAAACTAAAACAAGATATTTATTTATGCCCATCATTTTAGCAAACATATACAAATTGGCTCATATTCGTTCATTCAATTAATGCAACAGACAGTGAGCACTTACTATTCTAAGTACTTGAGATACAGCAGTGAGAAACAGACAAAAATCCCTTCTCTTCAGCTCAGTAGATTATAGACGGCCTAACAATAAACAAAGAAGAAAAGTAAAATATAAAAGTAAAAGTGTGCTAGTAACAAATGTTAAGGTGAAAATTTAAAAGCAGAGAGGAAGGACATGAAATGTTTGTTTAGGTATGTGAATTGGAAATTTTAGAAAGGTGAATTTTGATTAAAGACCTGAAAGAATTGGGACTGATTCATGTAGACACCTAAGGAAAGAGCATTTGAAGCAGAAGGATCAGCAACTACACAGGTCTGGTATGTTCAAAGAACAGCGAAGAGACTAGTGTGACTGGACCACAGTGAACAAGGTGGGACTAATCGGAGATGAGGTCAGAGAGAAAGTGTGGAGGGGCAGATCATGTAGGTAAGTCACAGTGAGGGCTTTGGCTTTTCTTGAGTGAGAATCCATTGGAGGGTTTGAGCACAGGAGTGACACACTCTAAATCAGATTTCATAAATATCGTTACTAAGAGTTGTCAAGGAGGGCCGGCCCGGTGGCGCACTGGATAAGTGCGCCGCTTGTGAAGCGCGGCGGCGCTCCCGCCCGAGGGTTCGGATCCCACGTACAGACCGGTTCAGCTCACTGGCTGAGCGAGGCGCGGGAGCAGCACCGAGGGTTGCAATCCCGTTGCCGGTCCCTGGTCCGGTACGGGGGCAACACTGAGGGTTGCGATCCGTTGCCGGACACGGAAAAAGATAAAAGACAAAAAAAAAAAAAAAAAAAGAGTTGTCAAGGATGTGGAGCAATGGGAACTTTTGTATAATGCTGGAGGGCATGTAACTGGTACTCAAATTGGAGCAGTTTGAAGACACTCATACCCTAAGACTCAGCAGTTCCACTCCTAGATATATATTTTTAGAGAAACTCACATAGGAGGAGTCTTCAAAAAGTTCATGGAAAGATTAGTATTAACTTTTAATTGTAGTTTTCCATAACTTTTTTTTTTTTTTTTTTTTTGGCTGACTGGTACAGGGATCCAAACCCTTGACTTTGGTATTGTAACAGCACACTCTAACCACCTGAGCTAACTGGCCAGCCCTTCCATGAACTTTCTGAAGTACCCTCATATATACAATATTACATATAGAAGAAGAACATTCACTGTAGTAGCAGCATTGCTTGTAATAGCAATATTTAGAAATGACCAAAGTAGTCATCATCAGGAGAGTGGATAAATAGTGTTGTATTCATACATGAATTCTGTAGTTTTTAAAAATAAATGAGGTCTATAAATATCGACATGGATAACTTTCACAACAATAGTAAATGTTAAAAAAAAAAGCATGTTGTAGAAGGATATGAATAGTATGACACCATTAAAAAGCTGGGTGGGCAGTGTTGATGACCTTTAAGCCTACCTGAAAATATCTTTCCTGCAGCTGTCCCTATGCCAGGGTTGTTAGGTAGCTTAGGGCATGGGACAGCCAGAGAATGCTGGAGAAATCTTTAAATCAGTATAAATATCTCCCTATACCAGGCTTCCTGTTGCCCTCAAGATAAATTCTTAACTCACTGACAGGGCTTCTAAAACCTTTCACGATCTGACCCTGGCCCATCTCTACAATCTCTGGCTACTCCCAACCTCAGACTTCGTTAGCCTCAAACTGTTCTTTTTTGCTTCTGGGGCTCTGCTCATGCTATTCCCTCTTCCTGGACGACTCTTCTCTTCTGTCTTCACTTGGCAAACTCCTGTTCTTCTTTAGATCCCAGCTAAGACACCACTTTCCCTAGATTTGGTGCCCTCCCTGTGTGCTCCCATGGGCATCCTGTACTTCATGCTATCAAAACTCCTGAGATTAGATATTTTATTATCTGTCTCCCCAGTGTGCCTGAGGGCACTAGAGGCAGTGACTGTGTCTCTGTTGCATATCATTGTGTCACCAGCACCAAGCCTGGGGCTTAGAGGGTACTGGGTACTTTGTAAATAATGGCTGATTGGATATGGTATTCTTTGCTTTCTAGTTATATGGATGCTATAAATTGATATTTTGATCACTTGTGGTCATATGCTTGGATGGTTTCAGTCTGTGTACAACACATGGTCAATTCTGTTCATTAATTCAATAAAACTTTTTGGTTGTAGGGTTTTTGTGGTTTTGGGTTTTTTGCATCTCTTATGTGGTAGGCACTCAGAATATGAAATACAGTGAGAGTTAGTCCTTGGCTACAGCAAAGAGCTCACAGTCTAGTGTAAAAACAGGTGATTTATGGAAAGCTGATATTGGTAACTCTTTGGAGCATCCCAGTTGATTGTTTATGTTCCCTCTTTGACTTTCAGGAGCCAGTGCTTAGCTTTGAAAAGGACCAATCCATTTCTGGTAGTTTCCTCTAGTGCAATAATTTTCTTAATTCTGTGATATGTCAAGATACCTCAAACTATCCCAAAGGGTATTGCAAAATATTAGTGAAATTGAACAATGGAATTCATATCATCTATTACAATCTCTCAATTTAAAAATGGTATTTGTTCCACATAGTACTTTTCCTAGGTGGGGAGAGACAAGGATGGTGTTCATGAAAATGAAGCAAATGAGAAGAGGGATTTGCAAAGCATGATGCACTCATCCACTCAGTGCAATATTTTATAGCCATTAAAAAAGAACGAGCTGATTTTTATGAATAGCTACGGTAGAATCCTAGGCCATAGTAAGGTGAAAAGAGAAAGGTTCAAAGCAGGATATATGTCTGTGTTATCATCTATGTAAAACATGTGCACGCACACACAGGGGTACTTCAGAAAGTTCGCGGAAAAATAGAATTTAAAGATAATACAAATCTTCCCATGAACTTTCTGAAGTACTCTCATAAGCATCTGCTCATATGTACATAGAATATTTCTGGCAGGATTCACCAGAAACTGGTTATGGTGGTGAGCTCTGGGGAAGGGAACTATGGAGTTAGGGCACAGAGAGGGAGGGACTCATGCTTTTCTCTCTCTATATATATATTTTTATACCTTTTGAGCATTGAACTATATGCATGTATTACTTTTTCATTAAAAAAAAAGAAGAAAAAAAGAAAGCCTCACACACACACGCACACACACACACAGTAACCTGGTAGATTAAATTAACTCTGCTTGCCCTGCTCTTCATTTATACTGCAGAAAGAACTGTCTGATTTAAGTTATTTTTCTCTGGCATTAACATTTAGCACTTAGATAAGGGAAGTAATCTTTGCTGGACGTATTCTGATGGAAGGTTTAACAAAATGTCTATGTTTTTTTTGATGATCTTCCAATAAAAGAAGCTATACACAAATCAGTGTCTTTATTCACCTAATTGTGGAAGGTGTTTTGTTTTTTTTTTTTTTTTCCTTTTTGTCTTTTTTCGTGACTGGCAACGGATCGCAACCCTCAGTGTCGCGCCCGTACCGGACCAGGACCGGCTACGGGATCGCAACCCTCGGTGCTGCACCCGCACCTCTCTCAGCCAGTGAGCGGCCGGTCTGTATGTGGGATCTGAACCCTCGGCGGGAGCGCCGCTGCGCTTCCCAAGCGGCGCACTGTAGCAGTGCGCTACCGGGCTGGCCCTTGTGGAAGGTGTTTTGGCCTGTGGATTCTAATGCCCCTAGTCTTGAAGGCAGCTAATTACTGAGTTGTGTTTTGACCTTTTAAAAAACAAAATTTTCTTTTTTTTTTTTTTTTTAAAGATGACCGGTAAGGGGATCTTAACCCTCGACTTGGTGTTGTCAGCACCACGCTCACCCAGTGAGCGAACCGGCCATCCCTATATGGGATCCGAACCCGTGGCCTTGGTGTTATCAGCACCGCACTCTACCGAGTGAGCCACAGGCCGGCCCAAAACAAAATTTTCTTTAAGCAAGTGTCAATTGCATCTAAAATTCATTTTCTCTTACTTACATGAATAGGAAGAGGGTGATAAAAATTATTCCATAGGGGTCTAAAGGCTTGTGCTTCATTTCTTTGAATTTTCTGGTTTCCTTTGCAGGCCCCTTTTGGATATGTGCCACATTGGTCTTTGCCATAGCAATTAGTGGGAATCTTTCCAACTTCTTAATCCATCTGGGAGAGAAGACGTACCATTATGTACCCGAATTCCGAAAAGGTTGGTGAATAGTGTGACTCATTTGGAATGCTGTCGGCTTCTAACCATGAGTTCCATTTACCCGCTGAGCTCTTGGGCCCCATCTCTAGGTGCTGCAGTCCCCGCTTTTTGTGGTTTAGGGTTTAGACATACCTACTACCTCAGTTTACTACCCATTATCCACATAATCTTTTTTTTTAACTGTACTAAAATGTATGTAACATAAAATTTACCATTTTAAGTGTACAATTTAGTGGCATTAAGTACTTTGACAATGTTGTGAATCCACATAATCTTTTGGAAAGCTGTGAGGCAAGGCCCAATAAAAATTGTAATTTATTCTAAGGAAAATGTGCAAAATAACTAAAAAACAGTGTGCATTGATGGTCTCCATGGTAACATTTGTATTATCCCAATATTGGAAACAATAGAGGCATTGTTACTTAAATTGTAATGGCTCGACTAGGCGGGATAGTCTGTAACCACTAATTATGAAGCACCTAGAGCAATGTGGAAAACTGTTCTGTTAGCAACTTTGTTAAAGGGAAGTCTGCAAATGGTCAAGACCTGGAAGAGAAAATACAGAAATGTGTGTGTCCTGGTGATAGACTTGTAAATGACATTCTGTTTTAAACAGTCCTTTCTTGTGTCATATTAGGTAATTAAAAGAAAAACAAGGGGCCGGCCTGTGGCTCACTCGGGAGAGTGCGGTGCTGATAACACCAAGGCCACGGGTTCGGATCCCATATAGGGATGGCCGGTTGCTCACTGGGTGGGCGTGGTGCTGACTGGCTCGACTAGGCGGGATAGTCTGTAACCACTAATTATGAAGCACCTAGAGCAATGTGGAAAACTGTTCTGTTAGCAACTTTGTTAAAGGGAAGTCTGCAAATGGTCAAGACCTGGAAGAGAAAATACAGAAATGTGTGTGTCCTGGTGATAGACTTGTAAATGACATTCTGTTTTAAACAGTCCTTTCTTGTGTCATATTAGGTAATTAAAAGAAAAACAAGGGGCCGGCCTGTGGCTCACTCGGGAGAGTGCGGTGCTGATAACACCAAGGCCACGGGTTCGGATCCCATATAGGGATGGCCGGTTCGCTCACTGGGTGAGCGTGGTGCTGACAACACCAAGCCAAGGGTTAAGATCCCCTTACTGGTCATCTTTTAAAAAAAAAAAAAGAAGAAGAAGAAAAACAAAAGAGCTTGTAGGGACTTGCAGATGACAGCTGCCCCAAAACGAGGAAGTTTGGCTTTGTAGGAGATTGACCTGAATCACTTTCTTAATTCCCTACCTCTCTCCCTGTTTGCCTGCCTCCCTCCCTACCCACTCTCCTGTTGAGGCTATAATAGCCTGAATAAGAGCGATGGCTCTGAAACCAGACCACTGGCTTCAAGTTCCAGCTCCACCACTCGCTAGCTTCTGCCATTCTGGGCAAGTTATTTCATCTCTCTTGGCCTCAGATTCTTTATCAGTATAATGGGAATAATAATACTTACGTTACAGTGCTATTGTAAGAATAAATTGTTTATACATATAAAGAGGGTAGAATAGTGATTTGTACAAAAAAAGAGTTCAATAAATATTAACTATTGCTATATGTGTACATATATATGTGTATAGAGAGAAATATATTTATGTGTGTGTGTATGTGTGTATCCATGTGTTCTTCCTTCTTTTCCTCCTCTCTATCTCCCATGCACATTTTCCCTTCTTCTGTTCTTTCATCATGGAGTCAGACCTGGATTCAGTCCCAGCTCCATTTATCAAATAATCTTGGTTTGAGCTTAACTCAATAAGTGTTATCCATGAGATATAAACCTTGCCTTCAATGGTTAAGTAAAGGAATATAGGTAAATGAATATCGCTATAAATAATGTGGGTTAACCTCTATATCAAAGGTACTTATAGGTATATTGCCCCATAAGAAGGAGTAACCCACCCTACCTGGGGATCTGGAAACCCAGAGGGTCTTTATTTGTTCTTATCCTCTTTGTCTGTGCATCCCAGTATTAGGGAATGATGTGATGTATGTACCAGTAAGGTAGTCATTAGCCCTATCAATACATATTTTTCCATTTTATGTAAAGAGTGTGAGTCACATCTGGGGTCAAATCCTGCATCCATTAACCTATTAATTTTGTGACCTTGACCAAACCACTGAGCTTCTCTGATCCTGTTTCCTCATCTCTAAGATGAAGGTATACAAAGCCATAATGATTTTATTGTTGTTGTTTGTTTGCATCCAATGTGTGTTTGTTCAGCTTTTATCCAGCTTGAATTACTGGTTCTTTCTTGCATCCTTTAAAGCGCCTGAGTTTCAACATAACTGGCGATCCATACTCACCCCGTCTCATCATCTTTTCCCACGTTGCCCTGTCTTATCATCTCTTCCCGCGTTCATCACGCAGCACCGTTGTGTGAAGTGGCTTGAAGCAACCAACATACATAAATAAAACCCTGAATTGTAAAATAGTCTAAAGATCATACATTTTAAAAAGTCATTTGACAGGGAGATTTTAGGAAAAATTGAAAGAAGAGGCTTTATAAATTATTATACTTATGATTTTAAGAGTATTATTGAGATAGCTATATAAATTTGGAGAAAGTAGCAAATCAAAAGAACACTGATAAGTTTACTATATAAGTTTTTGAAAAGTGAATAAAAAGATTGTTAATTTAACAATAGAGGTGTACCTATTTTCAGTTCAGAGAAATATATTTTATTCATTCACATAAGGTCACTCTCGCAGTGTGAGAGAGTTCTTCAAAAATTGTGATTTTGGGCCGGCCCATGGCTCACTCGGTAGAGTGCAGTGCTAATAACACCAAGGCCCCGGGTTCGGATCCCATATAGGGATGGCCGGTTCGCTCACTGGCTGAGCGTGGTGCTGACAACACCAAGTCAAGGGTTAAGATCCCCTTACCGGTCATCTTTAAAAAAAAAAAAAAAGAGAGCTTATGGTCCAAAAGTTGTACATTAAGTGTCATAGAGTTCAGCAAATGAAAAAATTACTTGGGAGAAAGAAGAATTAGAGAGAACTGTTTAAAGGACACTTTCACCAACATTTTCACCTCCATGACTTCCTGCACACACTTCTCTTTACCTTGAGTACTTTTCCCAATATCTCCCTCTCCCCAATTCCTACTCATCCTTCGGTTATCACTTAAAGAAGTTGTCTTAGTCTGTTAGGGGCTGCTAAAAGATTTTCCAACAGCAATTGCTTATAGATGATTTTCAATGACCTGAAGACATACATTTCTGAGAAATTATCACCTTAAAAAATGGATTTATATTCATTATTTCCATTGATCCCAATGTTAATACTTACAGTGCTGTCCTCTGGAAAATGTTTTGTTCATGATTTTTGTTCTACCAAAAGTAAATAAATAAAATGAAGATATAGATCATATGAAATAATATATCTACCTTTTAGTTAATAATATAAAAAGTTAATTTTTTTTTTCTTTTTTCCACTGGCTGGTGCGGTGAACGGAACCCTTGACCTTGGTGTTACAAGGCTGGGCTCTAATCAACTGAGTCAGTCGGCCTGCCTTAAGAAGCTAATTCTTGATTGAGCATTTATTATTTATCAATCACTGTTTTACGTAGAACAGTTCTTACCTGTTTTTACTTGTTTAATTCACCTAATAATCTTATAAGGTAGTGTACTATTTTTATTCCCATGTTATAGATGAGAAACTGAGGCAGGAAGGCGAATCTACTCACCATCCAGAGTTACTTTGCCTAGGATTAGAACCCATGGAGTCTGCGTGCAGAGTCTGTGCCCTTGTCTGTTATACTACATTGCCTCTCAGTAAAGCAGTGAGTGTAATGCCTTATGCCCAGTTGGTGATCAATAAGTGGTAGCTATAGTCATAGTAGTGATCCTCTCCCCTTCCCTTAGTTATCCAAGGAGAAGGCAGTATGTCAGCAAAATTACGCTTGGCTTAATAAGGGAGTTCCCAACATGAAAATACTGCTCTGAGAGCTAAAACTGTTTTGGACAATTACATGTCTTAACCAGAATCTGACTGTGATTGCTAGGGGGGCCTTTGTTCTTGCTGAGATGCATTAAGTGAATTCCCTGCTGATTTTCATGTAGGAAGGGCTGGTGCCAGGGGCTTAGCCATGCTTTATGAGCCTCCACTCCAGAAAAAGGAAAACGAATCCTCTGGGGCATGCTGCTACTAGAGGAGGAGGAGAGAGTTACAGTGATATACTGAACATTGCTGTTCTGAGGAGCCACTAACTAGCATTTCCACTACAGAGGCAGAATTATTTATTTCAGGAAGAAAGTGAAACGAGAGTATTTCAAGCAATTCATCAATGAGCTGGAACTCCCTATTTCAGAGACAGAAGGAACTCTAAATAGCATGGAGAGCAAGTTAATCTGTACCCAGGGTATTTTAATAAATTTGCTAAGGAAATCAGTGTCAGCTCTTGTTATACAAGAGAGGGGGAAGATTTCTTCCAAGGGGATAGCTGGCTTTTATTTGATTGAAATGCTCAGTATAATTAAACACTGGCAGTGTGGCCCTCTGAAGTATTTTAATTGCAAAATTCAGTTGTTTAATAATATTAGTTGTTAGTTATTAAGTGAATTATAAAAGTTATATGAGAGACTACTAATCATCACTGCAAAGACAAATGCTGAAGATTTATCAGTTAAACATTTACAGAAGGCCTGCTACGTGTCTGGCCAGTAAGACATGATCCCATGGTCCATTGAAGTAGATTGACATGTCAGGAAATAAGTACAGGAAGGAATTGGAAGTGCTCTGATAGTGTATTAAATGCACGATGGAGGTTAAAACTGTGTCCTGTCATCCTCAGTGTCCATAGCAGCTACAATCATCTATGCCTATGCCTGGCTGGTTCCTCTCTCACTCTGGGGTTTCCTCATGTGGAGAAACAGCAAAGTTATGAACATCGTTTCCTATTCGTTTCTGGAGATTGTGTGTGTCTATGGATATTCACTCTTCATTTATATCCCCACAGCAGTAAGTACCACACTGATGGGACATTCCGAGTGATGTTCTGTTCTGGGTTGAAAATTCAACCAAGAATTTGACCACGCATCAGTATATCCAGCCTAACACTCATGTGCTCTTGAAAAATCCCCTTTGAATTTAGAAGTTCAGCATGAATGGGGCTGGGGAGCCAAGTCCCTTCACTGTATCTCGGGCCCTTCATTATGAAAGCACCTACCTCAGTCTGCATGCTGGTGGTGTTTCTCCAGCCTGTACTGAAAAACCACAGTGGCAGGGGGGGTTCAGCTGCTGATTGGCTCAGGGACCTTTATAAACATGTGTGCCTGGAATGAACAAATGCCTCTCTGAAATCCCTCCAAAGAACCCCTCTCCTTCCTCCTTTTCTCTTATTTCAGATACTGTGGATTATCCCCCAGAAGGCTGTTCGTTGGATTCTAGTCATGATTGCCCTGGGCATCTCAGGATCTGTCTTGGCAATGACATTTTGGCCAGCTGTTCGTGAGGACAACCGGCGCATTGCGTTGGCCACAATTGTGACAATTGTGTTGCTTCACATGTTTCTTTCTGTGGGCTGCTTGGTATGGTCTCATTCCTATATTCATTCCTATGTTCATTATATGCAAATGCTAAAAGACCTCAAACTGTTAGACACAATGGTTCTTTTAAAACTGGCTCCATGAAATACATATTGTTTTAAATAGACTCTCCTAGGTGGGAAGTGGTAAAGTCATGAGCATTTGATTGTAATCTCTGGCTTTACCTAATTTCTGAAATCTGGTTAGGACTTGGTGTCTGGCCAGCGGAAGTGTGGGAGAATGAATGTCTATGTATAGGGTTGGGGAGCGGGATGGGATGAATTCTGCCTTTGGATGCCTTTACTGGTTTTCTGCACATACCTAGAAAAATTTTTGAAATTTAAAGTTTCATAGGTGGAAAGTTTGAGAATGAAGTCAAATGTAGGAAAGGGGAGTTATTTTTAAGCTGAAGAACATTTAAAACAGTTTTTGAGTTTAAAACATCTCATGGATAACCATGTCTCATTAAGTGCATTGGTAAGATCCCGATACTTTATCATTAAGCAAGTCTCATAAAAAGTGCCAAGTTGTGAAGCATAGACCAAGTTTACATGCACTTTGCATGTGCCTCAGCTTTAAACTCTTAAGACAGGACTGTTGGTTTGACTTTTGCCACAGTGACACTATGGAATCTCTGGGTTGATCCCTTGAAATGCTGCTGTGACCCTCTGGGACCCTTCTGTCTGCTGAAGAAGAATGTCCTTTTCATGATGACTAACTCACTGTAACACCTCTCACTGGTGTTCACTCCATCTATCTTCTGAATTGTTTCCCATTATATACCTGGCTGAGAAGTTGGTAGAGAGAAGGAGATGGGAGAAAAGGTGTTGCCTTTTTCAGTTCTGTAAGGAGTAGAGAGGAACAGGGCAGATTGAACAATGGAACAGGGAGGTATTATTATTATTATTTATTAAGAACCCATTTCATTTGGTACCTGCAGCAGGATCTTTTACTTCCTATGCCTGCTACTCCCTTTTGTGGTAATTGGCACTAAAGCTAGGATTTACCTGCTCATCTTCCTGCTCAGAAACTTTCTAAAAGAGAGCATAATTACGAAGTAGAAAGAGCCCTGGACAGGGAGGTGTCAGCCTTGTGAATCTAGGCAAGTGACCTAAATCTCAGAACCTTGGTTTCCTCATCTCTCAGAGATTCAAATTTTTATAGGCTTTTGTGAGATTCAGTGAGATGGCTGTGAAGGTTCTTCATATACTGAGAAGGGTTTTTCAGATGTAAAGAAATTATTAAAGGAGCCCTGTGTCATCAGATGCTGCCAGGGCTAGTGTGCTGCGTATTCCTCCTCAGTGCCCCAGTAAGAGTGGTCCCAAGGTCACACAACCTGGACATGGACTAAGGCTCTGATCTCCCACTCTAACAAAGTGCCCTTTCATTGGTGCCTCTCTCACTGGCATCTTCCCATCTCTCTCCTGAACTTTTTACCCATTATATACCTGGTTGAGGAATTGGTGGATAGAGGGAGGCTGTAGAAAAGGCATTGCCTTGTTCACTTCTGTAAGGCACTCAGGAAGCAGAGCAGATTGGACCATGGAGCAGGGAGGTAATTGTGGGAGATAGAAGAGCAGGCACAGTTTTCTTCTGGAGGAAGGGCACCATTCTGTGGTTGGGTGTTTAGCCAGGGGCGCACCATGTCTGGGTTTTGTTCTCCATGCTGGAGATTGGCTCCTCCTCTCTTTTCTGGAGGAGATGTGCAATGCAGGAGGGCTGACCTAGCAGTTAGGAGACTTGGGTTCTGGTCCCACTTGCATCACTCTGCTTTGGTTATTTCCTTTTTCTGGACTCCCACCTCCTCACTTAGGAAAAGGAGCTAATTGTGCACACTGTAGTTACATTTTTATTGCTGTTTTAAGGACTGAATGATATTTGAACTTGAAAAATATGACAACTCATATGAATGAAAGGCATTATTATTATTAGAAGGGCAGGGATTGTGTGAGGAATTGGCAGGGGAGTTATTTGAGCTGAGGGGCACCCACTGAACCAGATGACCTGGCTTTCTCTCTCTCCCCTGGGGAATGTGGATTGGTGTTCTTGCCTTAGTGCAATGAAGCGTATGATAGCCCTGCACCTGTTGAGGGCCCCTTGGTGACTGCACATGTAAATAATCTCTAAGTTTGTAGAACTAAGGAAGCACCCAGAAGGTGTGTCCTTGGCTGTATGTTTAGAGATGTACGAGCCTATGTTTGAGGTGGTTACTGCTGATTAGAGGGACCTGTGCCTACCTCTACGAAAGAGCCTGGTGATTCACCTTCAAGGCCTCCACAGTTGGGCTGGGCATACATAGACTAGGGCCCAAGTTACTGACTGTGTCGGAGAATAGAAGAGCATAACTGTACTGTGGATGCAAGCATGACTGGATTGAAATCCTAGCTCAGACACAAATCTCTATCTCTTTGAGCCTCAGCTTTCTCATCTATAAAATGGTGATAAAATTGCCTGTTATAGGGTTTTCAAGCAGGTTAATGATCAAGTGTGTACCCAATGCATAGTAGGCAGTCCCCAAAGATAGCTGTGGTTGTTATTAAGCATTTATGGAATTAATGAATCATAAAATTAAAGCTTGTTCAAGGGATGGCCCTTAGAGATCATTTTTTCCAATCCTTATGTTTTACAGATGAGAAAACCAAGGTCCACATGAGTGGAGTGACTTGTCCAGAGTTACAGTGAGTTAGTAACAGAGCCAGGTTTAGAACCTGGGACTTTCGGCTTGTTTGTCTGATGAGGGTTTCCTTCAGTAGCCTGGAAAAAAGGCATTGTTCCCACAACATGGGGGCTCTGTGGCTCAGTGTACCTGCAAGAGAAATGGAGGAGCCCAGCACTAGCAGCACGGCCCCTGTGTCCCCCTTAAGTTAAACTATTCTATCCCTCTTCCAGAAACCAGCTTCAGGAAGGGGCCCTGGGGAGGAAGCCTTTTAAAAGTAATAGAATTGGGCCGGCCCGTGGCTCACTCGGGAGAGTGCGGTGCTGATAACACCAAGGCCCCGGGTTTGGATCCCACATAGGGATGGGCTGATAACACCAAGGCCCCGGGTTTGGATCCCACATAGGGATGGGCTGATAACACCAAGGCCCCGGGTTTGGATCCCACATAGGGATGGGCTGATAACACCAAGGCCCCGGGTTTGGATCCCACATAGGGATGGCCGGTTTGCTCACTGGCTGAGCGTGGTGCTGACAACACCAAGTCAAGGGTTAAGATCCCCTTACCGGTCATCTTAAAAAAAAAAAAAAAAAGTAATAGAATTGCTCTGGGAATGTGACAAACTAGAGGGAGTCTGCAGAAAAAGGCATCAGCTGGAAACTTTGAAAAGGACTGTTGAAGAGTTAACATGGAATAAGAATATGTTGAGGAAAGCTCCAGCATGTCATGTTGGTGCCCCCTTCTGGCTGATAGAGAGCAGAGGTGGTGAAAAACGGTTCTTGACTTGATGGCTTTTTAACTTTTTACCTTCCTAAGGCACTGATGTCAAGGGGGTTAAATTGTAGATGGCAGCCTGGCCGGTTAGCTCAGTTGGTTAGAACGCAGTGTTATAACATCAAGGTCACAGGTTCAGATCCCTGCACTGGCCAGCTGCCAAAAAAAAAAATTGTAGATGGTGAGTGGAAGTACTTATCAAACCTTTCATTTCCAAGCTGAAGAATTATGAGGTAGAGCATGCTTAACACTTTTTTTGCAAAGTCTTTGCAGAAAGCCAGCTAACTGGTTTAGCAGCAACCTATCATAGTTCAGTTCATTAAGTATTGATTGTTGACATAGTGTACCAGGCCCTGTGCAAGGTACTGGAGACACAAAAATTAAGAAAGAGAGTCTTTGCCCTGGAGGAGAGACTGTATAATGCAGTGATTAATGGCTTGCATTTTGGAGTCAGACAGACCTAGGTTTGGGTCCTGGTTCCACTATGCATTAGCCACGTGCACCTGATCGAATGACAGCCTTTCTGAGCCTCAGTTTCTTCATCTGTCTAGTGAGGATAATCGTAACAAAGGTTGTTACGAAGATTAAGTCATGTAATATAGAAAGTGTTCAATGGTTCTCACAATTGAGTAAGTGAGACAGACATAAACAGAGATGGTTGTAGTTCATTGTGATGACAAATATGATAAAGGATACATAGGGGCCATGAGAGCCCAGAAGTACTGTTACCATGGAGTCTAGAAGAACATTGACTGGGACCATTGTTTTTTAACTCCATCATGGATCTCTTTTCTTTGTTCTTTTTTTTTTGTTGTTGTTCTTTTTTTTCTTTTTTCATATATATTTTATTTTATTTTATTTATTTATTTATTTATTTTGGATCTCTTTTCCTGTAGGCGTATTTTTTTGATGCACCAGAGATGGAACATCTCCCAACAACTATAGCTACTCCAAACCAAACAGTTGCAGCAGCCAAGTCCAGCTGATGAGAAATGTAAGAGATTGTATATTTATATTCTTGCTGTGTGGTATAGTCAGAAATGGGTAGGAGCATCTGTTCTGTCACTGTTAGCATCAAGAATAGAGGGGGCCAAACCCTTTTTAATGTGGGTATGTGCATGTACATGTCTGTGTATACATGTCCCTTTTGTTTTCTTGTTTTTTCTTGTTTTTTGTGTAGATGTGTCCCTCTTGTTTTGGCTTCAGTTTTGAAATCCATGTGATATTGGCTTTCTAGAATTGGGGAACCTGAGCTCTTAGATTCTTCTGCAAGAGGAGCTCCTGCCTCTGGTCTCAGCATCCCCTGTCCTCCACTCCCTGTGCTCTTTCTAGCAGCACAGTGTGGGTTTGTTCCACTTGATAATAGTCCTGGTGGTTTTTTCTAGTGTGTCTGTGACTTCGCAGGCTGGCCTCAGATGCTGAGTGTGGCCCTTCTTGAATCACTCATAGGGTTCTCCAAAGCTTACGGTTTTCATGTTTCATTTGTTCTCAGGGCCTCTTTGGTGATTTCACTGTCAGTGGTTAGCTCAGTGGGTTAGAGTACAAGAAAAAGACCCAAGTTCATGGCTTGTTTCTTGCCTCCCTGTTCCACCTCCTCAGTATACCAAGGCTACAGCCATGTTAAACTTCTTGCCATTGCCAGAACATATCATGCCTTTGCACTTGCTGTTCTAGTTGTCTAAAATTTCCTTCCCTTCCACCAGTCATCACTTACCTTGTGATCCCATTACACTTCGTATTATGTCACTCTCTTACGATGCTTAAAACACTAATTGTAGACTGTCCGTTTGTCCTCCTGCCTGTCCACTCATTCGTTCAGTCATTTATTTATTCACTTGTTCTCTGTGTGCTAGTGTCTCCCCAGTTAGACTAAGGTCCATAAGAGTAAGGAATGGGTGTTACTCTATATCTTCATTGCCTACCACATAACCTGGTATACAATGGGTACTTAGTAAATTCTTGTGGAATGAATGAATGAGGCCACACTCTGCACATGGTCTCACTGTGGGCCAAGAACCTTTACTGTGTTTTGTAATCACAGACTGTTCTTTCTGTCCAAGCTACTGTCTCTCAGAGCAACGGGGTATGTGCGAAAACCAGGGGCTTTAGAGTCAAATAGAATTAAAATTAAAATCCCAGCCCTACCATACACTAGCAATATGCCTTGGGCAAGGGGCTTACTTTCTTTGAGCCTCAGCTAACTTATCTATAAAATAGGGATGACACAACCTATGTATAGATATATTATACTATAATTATAATGAAGATTAGAGATGATGTTTATAAAAGTTCCTGGCACATAGTTAAGGTGCTCTGTAATAAAATCAAAGCTACTGCCCCTCTGAGAGGGTCAGTAATTTGTATTGAAATTTGGTGGTTCCCACTAACTTTACTTTGACCCTTTATATCCTTTTTTTTTTCCCCTCACCACTATACTAATGAGGATTTATTTCCTTTTTGTAAAACAAATGGGGATTTTCCCTCTTAGTTGAGGAATTCAGGTAGCAGGCCCTGCAAGTTGATAAGGTGTGACTGGTCAAAGGTGACTCCAGTGAGCTTGGTAAGACAGTCACCCTGGCTAAATTAGGGACCTATTGTAAAATGTCACAGTCCACCACCTTCCCCTCTTCTTCTCTTCTCATGGGTATGTGATGTTAGAATGAAATAAGGTCGAGACCCTGGAGACAGTATGGGCTTCCCTCCTCATTTTACAATGAGGAAGCTGAGGCCAAGAGAGGACAGTGCCTTGCCCAAGGCCACCCCAGAGTTAATTGGCAAACTAGTGTATGTCATATTCCATTATATAAAACACTTTCCAGATCACTCTCTCTTGCCAGCCCTTTACCCTATTGTATAGATGAGACTAGGCTTAATAAGTCTGAGTTGACCTACCTCTTAGAGGCAGAGCTGAGACTCAAACCTGAGTCTTGGGAAGCCAATTTCTGAGCTTTTCCACTTTTCCATTTTTTAGACTGATACTCTTTTTACCACTAAAATTCACAGGCTTCTACTAATGACCTTTGGCTTTGTTTGGAGCCCCCCTTTGCTGGTCTGGAGATGGCTTTAGTTCCCTGGTCTCCATACTTCTTTGATTGCATGTTCTATCAGTTAAGAGTTTGAGTACTTTATTAATTGCCTACTGCTGCCCAGCAATATTAACACAAATACACATTCTCACAGTTTCTGTGGGTCAGGAAGCTGAGCATAGTTAAGCTTGCTCCTGTCCTTCAGGTTGTCTCACAAGGCTGCAAAGTGTCTACCAGAGCTGGGGTCTCACCTGAATGCCAGGCTGGGGAAAGATCTTCTTCCCAACTCACATGTTTGTTGGGAGGATTCAGCTCCTTATAGCTGTGAGAATAGGGGCCTCCTTGCTGACTGTCATCTGGAGGCTGCCCTCAGTTGCTTGCCACATGGGCCTCTTCATATGATGGCTTACTTTATCAAAGCCATAAAGGGAGAGTCAATAAAGAGTCTGTAAGCAAGATAAGAGGCACAGTCTTATGTGATGTAAACATGGAAGTCATGTCCCTCACCTTTGCTGTATTCTATTGATTGGAAGCAAGTCACAGTTCTCACCCACACTCAAGGTGGGGAAGGGGATTACACAAGGGCACGAGTACCTGGAGACAGGGATCACTGGAGGCCATTTTAGAGTCTCTACCACAGGCACACACCAGTGATATGTGTATATTTAAAGTGTTTGCATATACCGTTGCCAATCCATATAGTAACTATTAAAGCTTAATTCCTTATTTATTTTTTTTTTTTTGTCTTTTTTCATGTCCGGCAACGGACCGCAACCCTCAGTGTCGCGCCCGTACCAGACCGGGACTGGCAACGGGATCGCAGCCCTCGGTGTTGCTCCCACGCCTCGCTCAGCCAGTGAGCGGGAACCGGTCTGTATGTGGGATCCGAACCCTCAGTGGGAGTGCCGCCGCGCTTCCCAAGCGGTGCACTGTAGCAGTGTGCCACCGAGTCGGCCCAATTCCTTATTTTTTTGATGAAATATAAACAGGAATTCTAATATTTTCCTTTCACAACCTCAGTGGATTGTTTTTGGAGCCTGTGACCTTAGAATGAGCATATGGTGGCTTGTTTGCATTACGGTTTAATTGTCTACACACTTGTATAGCTCATCCTGCAGATGGACTTCCTTGACTGTTGGTGAGAAGGCCCTAGGGCAGGGTGGGACTCTTCCTCAGACCAAAGTCCATGGGGAAGGGGCAGAGTCTTATTTGACTTGGGCTCCCCAGTGCCTAGCCTAATGCCCACCTGGCACAGACAAAGCAAGTGCTTAGTTAATGTTGGGTGGGTAGATGTGACCCTTTGTAAGATTAAGGCAGAAGTCAGGATGTAGACTTTTACCAGAGGTGCTGTGGCTCACTGAGCCCCAAGTCATCAGTGATTCTTATTCACACATTTATTGAGGCACTCTTTGGGCCAGGCACTGGGGACCTAGAAAATTAGGTATAGTCTCTGTCTCAAGGAACCACAATCTGATGTGTAAAACAGCAAAACAAATAATGTGAGAAGTGCCATAGACAAGTTGTCAGCTGTGCACTGTTGGGGCATGAAGGGTGTGACTCACTTGGCCCAGGGGAAGGCTTCGCAGAAGGGTCTTCTTTGAATAGGGTCCTGAAGGTTGACTAGAAGCAGTTCAGTTACTCGTTCTAAAAGAAGGAGTCAGCTTCCCATGGCTTTTGGGAAGGTGAAGATGTATAGGCTGTTCAGTCAGACCCGATGGCATTATGTGGGCTCACATAACTGAGAGCAAGAAAATCTGAGCCCAGCTGGGGAGGGACAGAGGTAGAGGACATCAGTTGTTGCCTGGGTCTCTCTGTTGGCCGGGAATACCTGACATCACCCTGGTGAGAGCTCCTGAGCTGGGACTTCAGTGCCTTCCTTACATTTTAGTTGTACAGGCTCTGGACCAAGTGTCCCAAGTGCTGTAACCCCTCAGAGAGTCAAAGCAGTATCTGAGAAGAGACTGGCTCTCAGGGCCCTTGAAGATCTCGCATCCTGGTTTACACAGATTTGACACCTCTGGGCTTTGCTCAGATCTGTAAATGTGGGTGTCAGTACCTCCATTTGGGTATCTAGTCTCCAAATGAGATAGTGATGAACAGCTTCTTTGTAGTCTCCCTGGCAGAAGCATCAATCGCTTTGCCAATAAGAGAGGCTTCCCAGAGCCCTGGGCACTGCAGATTTATGAGCTGGCTGTGCCTTCTGTTGTAATCTTTGGACTCCCAGCTTTCACTGAAAAAGAATGGCTTCTATTCTCACTGATAACCTTCCCCATGTAAATCTGTGCATTGGAAGGCTGAGCCTGGAATGGATTCCTGCAAGAGCATTAACCCCTTCTCTCTCCCTGGAACCTCAGGATCTTAAGGGAGCCTCCAATTACTTGTAATGGAAGCTACCCCTACATAAGTCATTGAAATCGTATAAAGAATATCTGGCTTCCTTCCTTCCTTTTTCATTAACTTATCACCTGAGGACCATTACCTTTTCTTTTCTGAGCCAAGACACTGTTAAAGCCTGGAAACTGACCTTAGGAAGCCTTGCTTTGCCTTAAGGGATGGGGTATCTGCAGGAGCACATCCAGACTGGGGCTGCCTTCTCAAGGGTGGTGATAAGTGGGTCTGTCCAGAGGAGGGTGGGTCTGTCCAGCAGATCACTGCACTGCAGTGTGATAGGGCTTTAATAAGAGATGAACAAAGGGCTTCTAGAGAGTCCTTTGTAATTAAAACCCTCCTGATTTGATACACAGAGTTTGTATGCAATTATCCTTTCACTTGCTCATGTCAAGAGTGTTCTTTTCATAAACAGAAGGTACAAATCTTTTTACTAGGTTTCTATACATCAATTCTTTTATTGTGAAATGAGCTTTTAACACAATGCTATAATCCCCTTTAATGCAGCATCCAAATTGCATGATTTCACACTGTAGCTGATACTATTTTCTACTGGCCCCTATTCCTTTCCAGACCATGTCTGTAATGGCCCTGCCCAGAGATTCCATGTTCAGTTCCTGGGCTATTTCTTTCTCAGTTTTCTTCTTCGTTCCCTTTTTTTTAAAGGTAAATTGGGGGAAACTGGGATGGCCAGAGGGCCAATACAATAACTTTTTATTTTTATTTTTTTAACTTATTTTAGTAGGAAATTTTAAACAGACAAAAGTGGAGTGAAAAGTAAATGTTAATTTACTATTTGTTTTGTACTAATTGTCTACTAATTGTTTTGTATTAATTCTTGCAACAGTTGTCTACTCATGGCCAATCTTGTTTCATTCATACACCCATCTACTCCCCACCTCTTTCCTCCATATTATTTTGGAGCAAATCTAAGACATCCTATTATTTTATCCATAAAGGTTTAAATTCTGTATAAAAGATACTCTGTTAAAAATATAACCATAATACCGTAGTCACACCTAACAAATAACTCTTTAATACCAAATATACTCCAATACTTGAATTTCAGTTTACTTTATAAATATTATAAACTTTTTTCCGTCTTGTTTGAATCAGATACAAACAAGGTCTACTTATTGCAACTGTTTGATGTGTCCCTTAAGTGTCTTTTAAATTATAGACTCTTACTCCTTCTCCCTCCCTTTCTTCTTGCCATTTATCTGTTGAAGAATCATTCATCCTATAGTTTCTCATTGTGTGGATCTTGCTGATTATTATTATTATTATTATTTTAAAGATGACCAGTAAGGGGATCTTAACCCCTGACTTGGTGGTGTCAGCATGACATTCTCCCAAGTGAGTTAACCGGCCATCCCTATATGGGATCTGAACCCATGGCCTTGGTGTTATCAGCACCACACTCTCCCAAGTGAGCCATGGGCCGGCCCTTGGATCTTGCTGATTATATCTCCATGATGTCATTTTTTTTTTTCCTTTTTGTCTTTTTTACTGACCGGTAACGGGATCGCAACCCTCGGTGTCGCGCCTGTACCGGGGACCGGCAATGGGATCGCAACCCTCGGTGTTGCGCCCACACCGCACTCAGCCATTGAGCGGGAACCGGTCTCCACATGGGATCCGAACCCTCGGCAGGAGTACCGCAGCGCTCCCAAGCGGCGCACTCTCCAGTGTGCCACCGGGCCGGCCCCATGATGTCATTTAAAATGTTACTCTGTTCTCTGTTTTTGCAGGTTGGTGGTTGGCTCTAAAGGCTTGATCAGATCCATGTTGGATTTTTTTTTTTTTTTTTCAATCCTACTTGGTGTGCACTGTTAAATTCTTCCGTCTCAAAACTCATGATGTCTCATTCTTTCTTTCTTTCTGATGTTAGTGGCCATTAATAAGAAATGCCTAAATCTGTTCATTCACGAGGGGTTTCAAAATGGTGATATTTAAATTCTATCTTTTATAGTTTATTAACTAGAATACTACTAATAAAAAACCTCCCTTCATCTGCTATTTGTTTATCCAGTGATATAGTTTGCATAAGAAAGGCAAGATAAATTATTTTTTTCCTTTGTTTATTGCTTCCAATAGTAGTTGGTTCATCAGTGCTCTTCAGTAATGACCCAGTAGTTTCAGTACATTGTAAATATTATCGTTATCAATGCTCAATTGTCCCATCTTTGGCTGTTGGCAGCCTCTTCAAGTTGGCTCCTGAGTCCTGTTGACACAACCCTAGGAGTCTCTGATAACTGCCTTGCTATGTTATGACAAAATGTTCTAGGCTCATTTTGAACATTTCCTGTCCCAGACCCAGCCGGAGCCATTTCTCTAAGGAGTCTTGGTTCCTTTCAAAGGGAAATGGTATTTCAAGATCACAGTCTGAATGCCAGTGATGCTCATTGCAGCTGGCTTGGTCATTGTTTTCAGGCCTTTTTGGGGTTCAAAGCCAGGAAATATGTTTGTTTGCTTGTTTGTTTATTAACTTTTTAAAGAAAATACATTGTGAGTTCATACTGATACTTCTAATTCCTATGTAGTACTATAAAGTTTTTACTAAATTATTTTATCTTATGTCTTTATATCCTTTTCCCCATACTGAGATGATACCAATAATGATAGAATTGGAATATCACATAGTACTTATTTGTTTTATCCACCATATACTCACAACAGTCTAATAATAACAGCACCAACACTAACACTAATTACTGGAAATATTTAAATTCTTTTAAGAATTTTTTCTTAAGTTTTGAATGCCTTTCCTTACCTTGTCTACTTGGCAATTTCCTATTTAATCTTTAGGACCTGCTTCAGCTACCTTCGCTTTGGGGAAGTTTTTCTTCTCCAGGTACTATTACCTACTCCCTTCTTCGTGCTCTACTGCAGCTCTTTGTATGCTCTTCTATTATGACAACTTTCTTATTTACTGTAACTTCCTTGAGGGCAGAACTTTATTTACAATATAGCCTCAGCACCCAGCAGACATAAGGAGAAAGCTTGGTTTTGAACAAATGACCGTTGATATGCATACCATGTGGCACTCAAAACTTTCCTGGGTTTATTTGCCAAGTCATTTGGGAAGTCTTTACCTGTTCATTCATTGAGGTTCTTAGTACATGCTGAGGCTACTGAGGTGAACAATGGAGATAGGTCCTTACCCTCTCAGATTCTATACCCCAATTTTATATCTCATGCATCATAGACTAGCAGGACCTTCTAAATTAAAGAGAGAATAGTGACTATAAGAACTTCTGATTGGAACACCCCAGATCAGACAATGGTGATGTTGGTCAGGCAGGGGTACAGGGCTGGGGCAAGGAAAGGAGCAGGGAATGCTTGTGCCACAGTAGGGCCACCCAAGATCGGGAGCCAGAAGAGACCAGGAGTCAGGTCTTGGGCCAAGAAGCAGTAGAGGCAATCTTTGAGCAACAAGGAAGTGCTGGCTGATAGTGACATTCTGGATCAAGTGTGGCATAAAGGGCAGTATCATCTTATGTTACACTCTCTGGCCTAAGTGCCAAAACTTCCCAACCTCTTCCCTACAGGCCGCCCATTAAAAGTTGGCAGCAGAAGGGTATTTCCTGTTTTTAAATTCTTCTCTCATCTTGACATTAATTTGGAATAGACAGCCAGAAGAACGAGAGAAAAACAGAGTATATATTTATGAAAATAAAATGTTTAGTGCTTGCCTTTTAGTGGACTGGCTGGTCTGTACCTTTAGTGTTTCAGAAACCCAAGCTGATGTTTACTGGAAGGCTGATAAGGGCTTTAGATTGTTTTACTCCAGCAAATTATAGCTTCCACCCTTCTCTAACTGCTTTTCACAGGTATTTTGTTGGCGTTGTTTCCCTTTTCTTGAGCCAGTATACTCAGGCAGATAGCCGTTGCCTTAGCTCGACCTTCATGGTGTGGTCAGACACTGATGTCTGAATGTGGTGCTGCCCCTGGGAGGCTTCTAGGGAGGCTTGGCTCATTCTCTAAGGTGGAAGGCTGTGCATTAGGAAACCTTGTCTGCCACACTCCTTAATCTCCCTTGAATTTAACTGTTTCTAGGCCTTCTTTCCAAGTCCCTGTCTCTTGTAAATCACCAACTCGGTGTACCAGGAGATGCCTCAAATTCATTATGTTCCAAACTTAAACTTGTCCTCTTCTACAGCCAGATCTTGTTATGTTTTCCAGTCTCAGTGGATGTCACCGTCGTCCACGCTGTCCTTGACTTCAGACTAGGCTAGATTCCTTATTATACCCTTTCAGTAATTTGGAATTATAATTATAAATAAGTAATGTTTTATGTATTTGTTTACACTATAGTTGCCCCTGCTAGACTGTAAGTTTCTTGAGAGTTGAGACCATGTCTGACCAATTCATTATTGTACCCAGTGCCTGGCACATGAGTCCTCAATAAATGTTTGTTGGATTAAGAAATCCACCCTGTCACCCAAGCTAGAAATTCCAACATCAATGTAGATCCCTCCCTCTCACCTTCCACATCTCATCAGTCAGCAAGACTTGTCTCTCCTACCTCTGAAATATTTCTCATATTTGTCTTATCCATACCCAGCATTCAGGACCCAATCTCCACCTCTTTTTTTTTTTTTTCCTTCCAGTTCATCTTATATGGAGCCACCGGGGTCTTGGAAAATTTATAAATCTGACCATGCCTTTGAGTGTGTCACTCTGCTACTTAAAAAAAAAAAAGTTCTGGCCTCCTGTTGTCTAAAGAAGAAAATTCAAACTCCTTGTATTGCCGTGATCTACCCCTGACCTATTTGTCCTGTTCATATGCTGCACTGTCCCCTTTATAAACTCATGTTTCAACTACCACACACTGCTTTCCAGTTCCCAGATATTTATACGTCCCTCCGTATCCACTTTCTCCTCCTTTAGTGCCTAAAACAGTGCTGTCACAGAGAAGAGAGGAAGAGGGTGGGTGAAGGTAGCTTTGGGATCTGGGTTGGAGAAAGTCACTGGGTTTCCAAGGAAACAAAGGAGAACTTTTAAAAATGTCATCTACCCTCCAATAGTAATCTCTATGAGCAAAGAAATCAGAGCTTGAGGCTGAAGATTTTGGGAATTGCTGGCGGCGGACGGCTCTGGTTTTGAAGTTTACCTCTAGACATAAACAAACACCCTTTTCTGCAGTTTAGCTCCTTTTTGTAGGGGGGAATTCTTTATTTTGAAAGTTGCTCTTGTTTTTCAGTTCTCTTTTATGTTTTTTGGAGCGTGGTTCTTTTGGACATGGCATCCACTAGAGGAAAGCAGAATGACCAAAGCCATCAGGAAAATGGATGGGATGGCACAAACCCCCAACATCTGGATGGTGCCACCCTGAAGCCTAATCACCTACTTAACAAACAAAATTAAATGTTGTCCAGCACATGTGTCTTTCAGCTCTTCTTTTTCACTCATTGATTACCATTGTGACTATGCGCTGATTTGGATTGAAATGTGAGGTATATTAGTCAGGGTTCTCCAGAGGGACAGAACCAATAGGATACATATATAGATATATGAGATGGGATTTATTAGGAAAACTAGCTCATGTGATTATGGAGACTGGGGAGTCCCATCACAGGCCATCTGTAAGCTAGTGACCCTGGGATGCTGGCAGCACGGCTTGGTCCATGTCCAAAGGTCTCAGAACCAGGGAAGCCAGTAGCGTAACGCTCAGTGTGAGGCTGAAAGCCTGAAAACTCGAGGGGGCCGGTGGTGCAAGTACTAGAACCCACAGGCCAGAGAATCTGGAGTTCTGATGTCTATGGAGGAGAAGAAGAGTGTCTCAGTTCCAGGAGAGAGAGAGAGGAAATAGCCGTTCTTCTGCCTTTTTTGTTTTATCTGGGTCCCCACTGATTGGATGGTGCCTGCCCACATTGAGGCCCACATTGATCTTCTGCACTCAGTCCACTGATTCACACACCAGTCTCCTCTGGAAGTACCCACACAGACACACTCAGAAATAATGCTTTCTCAGTTCTGTAGGTATTCCTTAATCCAGTCAAGTTGACACCTAAAATTAACCATCACACAAGAGAAGGGGTTAGGCATGCTCAGGTGCCTCACCATTTGCCTCCCACAGTCATATGAGAAGCTTCACTGTATGTAGGTGCACCCTTAATACTTGAAATGGACCTGTCCTTTCTGGGAATTATGTACAGATTACATGGGTGACCCTCTTTCCAAATGCATGCCATCCTAAAGTAACCAAACAGTATGAACCTTGGGATTAATTGGGAACCTGAAAATTTGTCTTTGGTAACTGGACAACTGAACCTAATGGTTGTAAAATAAATATCTCATATAATGTCTGTGTCTGCATTTCATGGCTTTGACCTCTAGTTTTTCCTTGATATTTTATCTGTAGCATGCTGGAGTCTGTTGGGAATCTGATTTAATGTGCTAGGTGTTATGATGTGTAGGATAAAATGGACATCTGCATTGTTTCTCCTATAACTATGAAACATTGGGTTTAAAGAACATGCTCGTTTACAACCTATTTTGACACAGATTTTAGAAAATTCTCTTAGGGCACTTTGATTGCTTCTTCAAGGTGGCATGACTTCCTAGTAAGAGTGCATTAAAGGGAGAAACCAGTGACACTGCAAAGATATGTTTTTATACTTTTTGTTCAAAATGCATATTATCTGGGAGGCTGAGCTTCTAGCAGGTCAGGATTGCTGATTCTCTGCTGTTTCTGTTGTCTTCTTCCAGATAGAGCTCACTGTGTATTTCTGAGACAGCAACAAAGACTCATTTGGACTTAAAAGGTTGACCATGCTGATAAAGGAAGATGCACATAAATTCAGGCTACCTTGAGCTTAAGGTCACTTTGGCATACCTCCCATCAAATACTGAATATCTCTCCCATTGATTTATTCAACAAATATATGTTGAGCACCTACTAGGTTCTGGGCACTATTCTAGGTACTGGGGCTAGAACAGTGAACAAAACCGACAAGCTCCCTGTTCTTGCGGATCTCACGGTATAGTGCTCTTGGCTTAGTGGTTGCCAACCTCAGCCTCTCAAGGCAGCGGTTTCTTCTTTTGAACAACTTGCTCTGTTAGAAGTGCCTCTGCACTTTCACTGGCTGGTCCTAGCTCTACCCCTGGGCCTCACAGAAGAAGTCTGAGCCTTTTTCCCTTCCTTGACTTCATATGTTTGAAGGCTGCTGTTTTGTGTCCCTGACTGAGAAGAGTCCGGCCAAATATTTCTGTTGTCTTCAAGGACTCTTCAGAGAACTTAGTGTCCATACCAGTCACCCTCAGCTGGTACCCTGGCTTACTGTTTAATACTTTCTTCTGCTACCCAAGGCAGTGGTTCTGATGCATACAGATCCTGTGAATTTTCCTGTACAAGCCATCTGCAACCTCCTCTTTGGATCTCCTACAAAGAAGGGCAGGATTTTTGTCCTATTGAAGAACAGAAACATATAAATATCTTTTATCCATATGCAAGGAGTGATGAGGATAAAATTGTGTCCCCCAAATTTTCATGTATTAGTAACTTAATCCCCATTGTGACAGCATTAAGAGGGTGGGAAGTCCTATTATGGTAATTGGAAGGTGGGGCCTTGAAGAGGTGATTAGATTGTGAGGACTGTACCCTTGTGAATGGATTAATGGGAGTAGTTCTGATGGCTTTAAGAGGAAAGCAAATGAAGAGGTTAGCTCACTCTCTCTGCTCAAGTTACCTGCCGGGTGACACACTGTGTTCCTGAATAGAGTTGCCACCAACAAGGCCCTCACTAGATGTGTTTCCCAGAATTTCGACTTCCCATCCTCCAAAACTGTAAGGAATAAATTAAATTTCTTTACATATTACCCATTTTCAGGAATTTCTGTTATAAGCAACAGAAACAGACTAATACAAGGAGGAATATGGTTACCACTAAGTGCTTTTAAGTTGGTATGATAGGTAAATTTTCCCAGAAATATGTTTAGATATTCTGTAATAAAGTGATCATGATTTAGTTTTTAATTAAGGATTTTAGACACAGCCAGCATCATAAATTAGCACCATTATCTTATACAGGAAAGGACATTATTATTATTTTTTTTTTGGTCTTTTGTCTTTTTCTGTGTCCGGCAACGGATTGCAACACTCAGTGTTGCCCCCGTACCGGACCGGGGACCGGCAACGGGATCGCAACCCTCGGCGTTGCTCCCGCGCCTCGCTCAGGCAGTGAGCGGGAACCGGTCTGTATGTGGGATCCGAACCCTCGGGCGGGAGCGCTGCCGCGCTTCCCAAGCGGCGCACTATCCAGCGCGCCACCGGGCCGGCCCAGGAAAGGACATTATAATATCCAAGAATCTGGAAGGGCATAATCTCATTACTAAAAACTTGAATAAATTTAGCTTTATGAAAAACTGAGTAACTTAATTTTTTCTCACCTAACCAAGGACCAGTGAAAATTTTATGAACAAACCAGTACCATCATTTGGGAGCCACTGCTCTTTAGATCCCCATGTAGTACTTATGAATTACATTCAGCTATAAAAGAACACTGACAAGCAGTGGCTTAAACAAATTAGCAATTATATGTCTCTCACTAATATAGAAGCTTAAAGATAATCAGGTTAATATGGTGTAGAGCTAGGGCTGGGTCTGGAGCTCACAGACCCCTCGAGCCCGTTCACAAACTCTTCACATGCAGGTCTATGAGCTAGGTAACAGGAAAAAGATCCTTGGAGCCTTAGTTGAAGTAGGAATAGTTTTTATTTAGCAGACACACATCTAATAGGCAGTACAAAGAGAAACTCAGAAACTCCACTGCTACTGGCAAAGTCCACAGAAAAACTGAGCAGCTGCCAGCAAAGTAAACATGCTCTATTTTTAGATGCAAACTCTACTGGCCAGAGCTGCTTCACAAACTAAAGAACACACAATAGCAACAAACTAAAAAGATACATGGGTGTACATGTGCACTAACTCCACCCACATGCAACTTGTTTACAAGAAATGTGCTGCACCATACCCAACGGGACCTGAGGTGAGGGGGTGGGGGGCCCTGACCAAACTACTATATTTTCCCCACGTATGGCTGTTCCATTATGCCATTAGGTATTCTGGCGACTTCTATTTTCTTATTTTTCTTCTGCTCAGCAGTCCTTAGCGTTAATTTGTCATCACCTGATCCCAAGATGCCTGTACAATCTCCAGCAAAGTGTAGGTAGTGTGGAGCCCAGCTCCAGGACAAAAACCTGTGCGTGACCTTTTAGGCCCGACAAGGGCTTTACCTGACAGGCCTCATGGGGAAAGCTGCCCTCCCATATCAAACTAGGTGCACAGCCTGTGCCTTGCATCTCTGAAGGGATTGTAGTCAGGGACTCAGCCTCCTTGCCACCAGCCGGGCTGTGCTCTTAATGCATATCTGCATTTCCAGCCCAGGTTCCTGCATTTGGAGGCCTCCTTATAAGGGCGAGGGGAGCCCTAGCTGCAGCCTCTCTCAGGTGCCTATGCCAACTTATTGGGGTAAAAGAGGAAGAGGGCCTTGAAGATAGTTTTCTTTATGCTCAGTATTATACTTTCGACTCATTGTCCTTTCCCCTCTCCTCCCCAGCCCCCAGTCCATAAAATGGCAGGAGCCTTTTGTTTGGGGATCCTTTGGTAGTGAAACAATCCCCACTTCTGCACTGACCCAGGGGAGAAAATGGAATATTAGGGGAGCTGGCACTTTCTTCTCTCTAGTCTCTTGCTTATGCCATCACAGTAAGTGTTTAAAGACGTGGCTACTAGTCATTTTCAGTTGTCTTAATCAACTGCTCAAACACCTGGCATCTCAGTGCTCTGAGCTCAGTTCAGCTCTGACAGGCAGGAAGAAGGGAAAGGGCTAAGGGGGTAGGCCAGCTGAGTTGGCCTGCCTTTGAAAGAGCTTTCTCCAGAGCCTCGCCCAATATCTTCTGCTTCTATCCTGTAAGTCAGAAGTGTATCACATGGTAACCTCTTTTAGAAAAGTTAGTGGATGGTGGTTTGTCCATTGTCAGTTTGATTCCATTGGTTGGTTATCATATAAAGAACTGAGGGAAATGAATTTTGGGAAGACAGCAGCAGCACTAGCATAGTTTTTGAAACTCCCTGAATTCCCTCATAAAGACAGCAACTGTGACAGCAAAATCAACCTGTGCACAACACCTACAACAAAACTAGGTGACAAGCTATGCCCACAAACCCAAAAGTTCAAGTAGATGGAAACCACTGACAGCTCTCAAGACTGGCATGGTATCTGCATTTTTGTGGAAAGCAGCAGAGGGAAGCAACAGGGAGTGTGAGAAATCTGAAGAGAACCCTCAAATAACCAACAGGTGCTCACTGAAAAGTGGACCTATAGGAGAACGGCAGCTGGAGCTGGAGTTTTGTACAACCCGGTCTGCAGCCCACAAGTGTGAGGGCTCCACAGTAAGGTCTGAATAAGCTGGGGCAGCCCAGGTCCTGTGAACTCTCAAAACCAGCCAAACCTTTTGTTTAAGTCCATTTTGTGTTGCTATAACAGAAATACCTGAGACTGGGTAATTTGTCAGGAAAAGAGGTTTGTTTGGCTTATGGTTCTGGGACAGCTGCATCTGGCATGGGCCTCAGGCTGCTTCTACTCATGGTGGAAAAGCGGCAAGCAGCCAGTGGGTACAAGCAGATCACATGGCAGATCACATGGCAACAGGAAGCAACAGAGAGGAAGCAAAAGATGCCAGGGTCCTTTAAACAGTCAGCTCTCGTGGGAACTAATAGAGCAAGAACTCACTCATTACTCTCCCCTCCTCCAGGGAGAGTATTAATCCATTCATGAGGGATCCGCCCCCATGACTCAATCAGTTTCCAATACTGCCACACTGGAGATCAAATTTCCACATGAGTTTTGGAGGGGACAACACATCCAAACTCCATCACCTTCCTTCCAGGGCACCAGGGGAGAAACTGCAGGAAACAATACAAATAGTGTAGGCCAGGGATATTGGGGGGGTGGAAGGGGGGAAGTCCAGATGAGAGTAGGGGAGGAGATCTCAGAAAGTAGGAAGCCATGTTTTTGAACCCTTCATGAAAACAAAAAAGGAAACTGTAGAGCCTTGAGTTTAGAAAAGCAATGTGTGTGTGTGTGTGTGTATTTTTGCCCCCCCAAAAAGAAAGCTGTCCTGACTCACCTCTCCCTTCTAAATGTGCAGGAAAACTAATTCTGTGTAGAAAAGAGCAACAGAGAGGATCCTAGTCAAATCTCATAATGAAGTTATTATAAGAAAAATGGGAAGAAGGAGCAGAGTAACATCCTTAATGGTAATGAGAACATTCCAGACAGGCATGCTCCCAAAGCTAGA